AAATTTGTAGATGAGATTCTCGTGCTAGTCAATAAAACTGCAGAACAATTGGATCTGTGGAATTACTTATGTCGACCTACTTCCTACTTTACTAGTATGGATTCCTTCTCTTTTTATCTAAACGTAAGTTCTGATGCTTCCCAAACTTAACACACCTTATCCATCATTCTGAATATTCTGTCAACCCGCTTCTCAGGAGTACTTTCTTCATCGGGAATTTTCACACTTGATCCCACCATTTTGTAAATGGAATCGACAATTGAGAGCATCTCATCCCGTGTAATAAAACCGTCGTTGTCGAGATCATAGAGCTTAAAGGCCCCTAAAATGAGAAATGGACGAGTGACGAGTCGCTTACGCAACAGCAAAAATCAAGCATACAATGTAACTTCTCATCAAGATTCCCTCGTGACGTTATGGATAAGGCGCGAATGAACTCGTGAAACTCGATCGCGCCATCCTAAATGGTATAGCTTGATGTTGGGATCTAGCCTAATGCAGTTACGAGGTCGTCCGTCGAGGCCTCGTTCTGCTTCCTCGACCCGACTCGCCTCATTCGGTGGCGGGAATAAGGCGCACCTTATTTTCGTCGAATACCTTGAAGACGAATGACGCGAAATCGGATGGATCACCTTGCGGAAAGAACTGCTTGTAGATCTTCTGGAAGCCCTGCAAAATGGTTCTGTTGATTTTGTACAGCAATAAAGATTCGATAGCATTTCCTTGGAACAGAGAAGGAATAGACCTTACTAGCTGAATGTTAATGTGCAGTAAAGAATGCTTCGATTAAGCTATGCTGCGCAGTATTCAATGGGCGAAGATAATAGGCATAAGAATCCGCATTAATGGCAAGTGCTTTTGCGGCTGCTATCTCATTATTAACAATGAGATTATAATATTTTGGCTATAGTATATTGATAAAATTTCAATGAAGAAAACCTCAGAACTTATTTGTAGCCTTTTAAGGGAGCTAAGTAATATAAACACGGATAAATAATATAAAAACGGATACACGCTAATTTATGAAATGATATGCATTTAAAAGCCCTAAGCGCTTATCTGCAGCACAAGAAGGTGTTGGTTTTTAGACTCATTCCACGATTTTTCTATCTCATATATTCTCAAACCGCTAATGCGTTACTGTACAAAATAGAAAATATCAGAATAAGAACTGAGAGGTTTATGTAGATATAAGCTAAACCTTTAGAAATACTATGCGCTTTCGAATCATCTAACAGATAATTTTTAAAACCTATGCAACAATCGATTTTGAGCACTTGCTTTCTTACTGGTAATATTTTGCATTTAACTCACTGCTTCGGTCAGCATCCCATTTGGACAGTCTCGTACGAATCCTTTATACCATTGTTTTATTTCTTTCTCGGTAACTGAAAGTAATAGAATAGCTGGGAGGTTGTAAGAAATAAATTATTGGGCTTTGCTACGTGATATTCTGCTTTATTCCCTTTATTGTCAAGAAGAAAGTTTATAATTATTAAAACCAAACAATCTCTTCTAATATATATCCCAGAACAGCTCATAGAATCCTCTCAACGATCCGATCTCATATAGCACTGCAAACCTTTGTTGACACTATAACGAGGTCGTTAACATAATTCCAGAAGAAAATCTTACTCTTTATTAAGCGATAAGGATATATTGGAGCGCTCTACTTGTACTCATTATTTCATGTACCCAAAAAACACTGTTGTAAATAAAGATCTTGCCATCAGAATTGAGGCGCACTAATCCTAGAAATCGGAAAATTAACTAACATACCAATATTTTGGCGCTAACGCACTTCTGTGGAT